CACGGTCGGAATCTGCGTTGGTTCTCCGCGTCTTGACGCGAGACCTATGCACCTGGTCAGAACAATGCACGAGGGCACAAGATGCATTCAGCAATCCCTGCCGGTCGGGCCTATCTGAAGGCTATGGCCCAACGACGCAGTCATATGTCGTCTCTCATAGTGACACCGTCGCGATTTTGGTGCGGGGTGTGATGCGGACATAGTGACATCTGTGATATGGGCCCTCTGACGAATAACATTAATTTCATTCTTGATTTGGTTTGCCTCCGTTGAAATAAACTACTTCAACCTCTTCGCACTATATTGGTACAAAGGATGAAGAGGAGAGATGAGAGGTTGGGCCACGCTTGCACAAAGCTACTTGATGGTGGGGAAAACCGATGTTTGGTAAACGACGGTGAAATTCCGCCCTACAATCTCATTTAACCCACACACAAAATGCTCAGTTTTGACGTTAACTGGAGGACATAGCCTCACTGGTATTTGTCCCAATTTCTTGCAGCGAGTTTCACATCATTGGCGCCTGAGGCAGATGTGCCTACAAGCACACAAAGCCGATTGGTTTCAACGCAACTCGGAAGCGTTATCGCTGAAGCATTTAAATGCTTCAGCGATAACGCTTCCGAGTTGCGTTGAAACCAATCGGCTTTGTGTGCTGTAAGGCACATCTCTCAGCGCCAATGATGTGAAACTCGCTGCAAGACCTTGGGACAAATACCAGTGAGGCTATGTCCTCCAGTTAACGTCAAAACTGAGCATTTTTGTGTGTGGTTAAATGAGATTGTAGGCGGAATTTCACCGTCGTTCTACCAAACATCGGTTTTCCCCACCATCAAGTAGCTTTGTGCAGCGTGGCCCAACCTCTCATCTCTCCTCTTCATCCTTTGTACCAATATAGTGCGAAGAGGTTGAAGTAGTTTATTTTCAACGGAGGCAAACCAAATCAAGAATGAAATTAATGTTATTCGTCAGAGGCCCATATCACAGATGTCACTATGTCCGCATCACACCCCGCACCAAAATCGCGACGTTGTCACTATGAGAGACGAACATATGACTGCGTCGTTGGGCATAGCTTCAGATAGGCCCGACCGGCAGGGATTGCTGAATGCATCTTGTGCCCTCGTGCATTGTTCTGACCAGGTGCATAGGTCTCGCGTCAAGACGCGGAGAACCAACGCAGATTCCGACCGTGGCCATGCTCACGACCCCCCATGTGGGACCACCGTTCCAGCATGAACCTGTACAGCCAGATTGAGCAGGAGACGGGCCAGCAGGTGGGATTTCACCGGTGTGGTAGTCTACGTCTGGCGCACGACGAGGAGCGCATGGACGAGCTCAGGTCAGTGGGCGGAGCTGGACGAGCTCAGGGCAGTGGGCGGAGCTGGACGAGCTCAGGTCAGTGGGCGGAGCTGGACGAGCTCAGGGCAGTGGTCGGAGCTGGACGAGCTCAAGGCAGTGGGCGGAGCTGGACGAGCTCAGGTCAGTGGGCGGAGCTGGACGAGCTCAGGGCAGTGGGCGGAGCTGGACGAGCTCAGGGCAGTGGGCGGAGCTGGACGAACTCAGGGCAGTGAGCGGAGCTGGACGAGCTCAGGGTAGTGGGCAGAGCTGAACGAGCTCGGGTCAGTGGGCAGAGCGGGACAAGGTCAGGTTAGTGGGCAGAGCTGGACGAGGTCAGGTTGGTAGGCGGAGCTAAATGAGGTCAGATCAGTGGACGGGCCTGAACAAGCTTAGGTCAGCGGGTGGAGCTAGGCGAGGTAAGGTTAATGGGTGTAGCTGGACGAGGTCAGGTCAGTGGACGGAGGTAGACGAGGTCAGATCAGTGGGCGGAGACGGACGAGGCCAAGTCAATGGGCGGAACTGGACGAGCTTAGGTTAGCGGGTAGAGCAGGAGAACGTCAGGTCAGCGGGTAGAGCTGGACAAGGTCAGGTCAGTTCAGGTCACTGTGGACAATGTTGTGCACTGCCCACTGCGCTGTGCATGCTAGGCGAGGCGAGACGTGAGTCGTACAACGTAACCATATATCCACTCACCGCGATCTGTCGGCCATGAACGTTGCGACTTGCTACAGCTCATTCTATTTTCACACAACTTATCTTTCAATCTTTGTTGGCGACATCTTCATACAAAGGTCAGGTTCTAACAAAGCAAACCTTTCCAGTGTCACATCTCTTAATGTTGGTAACCTCTGTAATATTTTGTTAATCTGCCTGATGTGAACCGCAGTGCCGAAGAATTCTCTAGGCAAATTTTCGCTCACAACCAAGCGAACCGACAAAAACACCAACCACTAATAGCCCGTAAAACCTGTATTTTAAAGGTCATATGACGCGACGCTTCGTATTGCCTACCGACCTTTTATATGGAACCGTTGTGTCAGCGTTATTGCGTTGGCAGCGACCGCTTGCACTGCCAACGTCCATGGCTCACAACAGGTTCCAGATGAGCCGCTCGGGTCACCTGAAGAACCCACAGAAGATCGCCAATCCCGACGAAGTCTACGACCTCTGTCCCATACTCAACATGGAAGGCGTAAGTAGCCGATTCGGACATTATCATGGAACTCAGCCAACAGCCATGGAATGTTTTCGCGACGTTTGAACTGGAATCTTCGCATGCGCAATTTTTACGGCCCTAATAAATCCAGGCGGTCAGATTAAGATCCACAACCCACACCAATACGCCTTTGAAAGAAGTTTTAGGTCCTATTTGGACCAAGGTGTCCCAATGATTTCATTCAACACATATGTGTCAAAACTAAAACTTAAGCCAAGCTCGGCGTGGCTTGAAATGTGCTGTTCCACGTCCATTTTTGATTCCACCTTCAGTGTTACTTGCGTACAAAAACGCCGCCAATGCGCCACCTTATCCGCAGATCAAGGGAGGCCTGTACAGCCCGTACGACGGCCACATCGACCCGTACTCGCTGACCCAGGCGCTGGCGGCCGGCGCCCGCCTCTACGGCGCCACCGTGCGCCCCCACTCCGAGGTCACGGCCCTCCGGCTGCTCGAGGACGGCCGCTGGGAGGTCACGCTACCCCAGGGCACACTGCGTGCCCAGCGGCTGGTGAACGCCGCAGGTCAGCTGGGATGGGCTGAATGAAGCGGGGCTGGGGGTGGGAGGGGGGAGGGGGGGGGGGGCGTGGAATAAGTGAGACATATTCCGCCGTGTTTTGACCCAGATCACCAGCTGGCTTGCCGACGCTTGACGCCGTGCTTCTGACACTTTTGGGGTGACGGCTGTCGCCGTGTCAGGCGTGACGCGCAAGCCGTGGATACCCTCTTCATCTACCGCACCCAGATGTCAAAAGGTTCAGAAAAACACACTTGTGTACACGCAGCGGATCTATGATGTCTCCGCTTCGCGCTAGCATAAACGTTGGAACACCGAGGCGATGTAATGTTCACGTTAAGATGGAATATGCATCGCTGGCGTTTTACAACCAATAGCTTGAAAGTAATGTTTCAGGGCTGCTCGCTGACGCGCAGTGAGGCGGTCAGTTATGAGGAAAGTGGGTCAAACTTGAGGCCTGATTACCATTTCCTCTACGGACAATGGCGGTTGGCACATATCGTGTCATGTGCTATGTCATGACATTGTCGGCTCGCGATGACAATATCCATAGCGTTATCGTAGCTGAATATTTCAGTTCCACCTTGGAACATGTCAAAGCCTTGAGTCACCATGTCACCAAACGTCGCCATGTCACTAAAAAAGTAAAAACAGGAGCACCACGCACCTAATCAGAGCAAATGGATCAATCACTCACTCAGCATTCATGCCAAGCATAAACGCGAGATCAGTTTTGAATTAAGGCTCATGGATTAAACGCTGAGCGACTACTGGCAAGCAATTACACTGTCAAATGGTTAAAGGGAATATTCCATGTTTGTATATATTGAGGCAAGCAGCAGATGTGATAAAAAACTTACTTCTGACTACTGGTGTGCTCATAAAGCTGAAAAACTTCCCTGGATGACGAAAAGTCACTTATCAGCAAACATGTTCCAAATTACGTCATTGTTTGATTACGTCAGCGTCCCTTGCACAATATTAATCTAGAGCCGTTTGATGACATCGGGCAGCACTTAACACGCGCCCGGCTGGTCGGTTGGATACCCTTCGCTCGGGTGGGGGGTCAATTTGACCCACTGAGATCTCAGGAACTAAGAGAGCTAGGGATATCAAATTCGCGGAGTGCGTTAACCTGTACGTGAACTCACTTAGGTCAAAGTTTGATGTTTCTAGGTTATGACCTTCGGGTCAAATAAGGACAAACAAGGTTAAATTCCAGGCTGGTCGCAAAAGGGCCCCAAAACCCAGATGACTGTTTTAAGCAAGAGATCACATGCTCATCAAAGGCCAGTGACATTTTTTGACATTTTGAAGGTCATGGTGACCAAAATCATACACGACCGCTTTGAGTTTTGCATTTGGATAACCGACAAAGATTACGCTAGGTAATATGTTCTTAAAAACCAAATGTTGACCTGGGCCATTCTAGGTCAGTGACCTATTCTAACCTTTAATGCATCTATGAAAGATGTATAATGCGGCTGCTGTTTTCAAAAAATTCGAAATGAACCCCAGAAACTATTCCATACGGCAAGCCCTGGAGAAATAACACAGGTTGGTTTTGACCTTGGCCTGACCTTCACGCTTGACCCAAGGTCAACGTCATTTGCTCATTCAATGTTTGTGTTGCCTAAGAAAGAATCTCAAGATGTATGGCTTCGTCTAACTCTCCGTTGTTGCATCAGATTAAATTATTTCCTTGAAATTACCTTCCTGAAACCATGGACTGACTTTGACCTGTCATAGGTCAGCGATTTTGCAAAGGCAAGTCTAAATTTATTCTACCAAACGATCTGCTATTAGATTGTCTACAGCTATGCAAAATTTGGCGCGGCTACGCCCCGCTGTTCAGAAACCATTCCGGAAATACTTCAGGGTCAATTTTGATGTTTTTTTGTCAAAATTTGGTCAAATTTGACCCCCGCCCGAGCGCGTGTTAAGGCAGCCTTAGGATTTTGTTTGAAGCATGAATACGCTGACACCATCGCTACTAGTTTTTTCTTTGATGTTTTCATGCTTTGTTACTCCTATAGCGTTATGACATGACACAGCGGTGGACAAACAGAATCAAACCCATCGGCCAAGCGTGATGCTAGCTCCACCCAGTGACGGCACTGTCACGTTCAATACGGTGCCGTGGCGGCGACGTCGCCGGGTAAGTGACATCTTTTTGCGTGCACCACGGGCGGGTGCCTCCGCGTGACACAGAACCCGACTGGCTTCACTCGTCCTGACCTCCGCTAACAAAAAGCGGTTGGTGCCGGCGCCGACCTCGTTCTGTTTCTGCCTGCCTGCGTTTTTCTGTCCTCGCCGCCTGGCGCCTAACTCTTGTCACGATTGGGGCTGGGTAGCGTTGAATAGGTCGAGCGACCTCCGACCCCGCCGGCAGAAGGTCGCTGGCCTGGTTTGATCGGCTTGCATGTGTGCCGCAGGGTTCTGGGCCAAGGAGGTCGGGAAGATGGCCGGCGAGGACCTCCCACTGGTGCCCATCCACCACCAGTACGTGGTGACGTCCTCCATACCAGAGGTAAAGCTGCAGAACGGAACACTCAGGCAGGGCTTAGCGGCGAGGCAGCAGGGCTGTTCAAAGAGCATTGCTTGCGGAAGACGCAAAGTTATGAAATGCTGCAATAATTTATTGGAAGCTTGGGCCCCAAAATATACCTTCTTTGCGACGACACGACCAGGATTTTCATAGTGGGAGGGAGCAGGGTAGTCAGGCCTCCGATTTCGACAAGAAATCCAGGGTCTGTCGTTCTCAGCATGCTTAAATTGCTGTGAGTTTGCTAATCGTGGCGCTGCAAGCCTGATTCTGGGTGTTCCGCAACTGTGCGTTATCTGCGACGACCAGCAGTAGGCGTGCGGATGTTGAGGGGGTCAAATTTGTGCACAGGAGTCGCCAATTGACGTAAAACCGAGAGCGGCATAAATGACGGTGTTGCACCGAAAGCATTCCTGAGCGAATATAGCGGCCTGGGAGCCAGACGGTACTTGCTCCGAGCTGTGGGGAATAGTCTCCTTATTCCCTGAGCAACCCGCCGCCCGCTTAAGTAGCGTGGATTTACTGCTCGCGTGCCTGCCGGTCTTGGTGAACTGAGGGACTGGCCGACATTTTTGGCCTATCTCTGAACACATAGTAGGTGACAGGTTGACAAGACGGGCAATGCCGTGGAGCAAATCAACAATGCAACAATATGCATCGTGGAACAATAAATAGAACAATGAAATTCTCATTAGCGCTAGAGCGGCAACGCGAGGCTTCAGGGAAATGGCGCCCTGGTCTGCCCCCTCTCGTCGGTTACGCGCCTGCGACCGTCCTTTTCACCAGGAGCCGCATTAGAACCCTGTCGAGTGGCAGATGGCCGCATGTCGTCCGGACATTGAACTAACATTTTGGCGGAAGGTAAACACGGACCTCGGGATGTTTCCGGTTATAACTGGTACAGCTGCAGAAGCATTACCACGCGCACTGGAAGCGGGTGGGGCAATACACCCCGCCCTCTGGCTTCTCTTGAATATCTCCGAGTGATTCACTACGTCTGCGCCTTATATCTGTCCACCCACAAATTAATCCAAGCTCGTCGTTCAAAGCAAAGCAAATCGTTCGCGCGTTTTTCCTGAAATTCCAAGGCGGCAGAAGTCAACGGTGTGAATGATGCCACACCACCAATTCTCCCTCCCGACCAGCCAATGCGAAATCCCCCTCCCCTCCGCGCCGCAATGTTCCCGTCCCCTTCCACCTGCGCACCCCTCTGGCCAGTTGGCGAGCTTACCGACACGTGCGTGCCGGCGTGTAGGGCTCGGGTGTCGCTGAGTACTGGGTGATGACGTTTTCATAATGATCAAGGGCGGACCAAGGGGGTGAAGCAACGGGGCGTGTCGGCCTTCCCAATCGTGTTCCCATGGCGCTGAAATGCGCTTTAAGTTTCACTATTTCGCTGGACACCAGTGTAACTAGCAGATGCCGCTGAGCCGGAAGGGTGTCAGGTGTCAGGTTCACCGCAGCCGGGGGGGGGGGGGGTGTCAGGTGTCAGGTGCACATCAGCCGGAGGGTGTGAGGTGTAGGTGCGACTTAGCTGGAGTGTGTCAAGTGTCAGGTGACCCTCAACCAGAGAGCGTCAGGTGTCAGGTGTGACGGAGGGCGCTCACCAACACATCACAAACACCAACCCTCTGGTTCACTTTCAGAAATTGTTGGAGAGATCCGCCGCTTGTCATGCAAGAATTTTAGTGTGTATCGGCCAAAAGGATATAGCATGCAGCATGCATCCAAACCCGAAATGTAAAAGTGATGATCTGTCAGGTATCCACAGTTTGTCGGAATTTCAGAACTGCAGATTCAGATTTTTGTTTCGTGCTTTAGGAAGATAAAAATGATGAAAATTAGAAGTTTGGCCCATTCCTCTAAGGTTTAAAACGTTCTGGTTCCCGAACGTAAAACAGGTCGTTCACGGTACCTTTCGTTTGGGTTCAAGTGTGATAGCCTTGGCGGTGATGACACGGGGGTTCGAGAAAGGGTCTAATCTGGACCCTGTCTGAATCTGAATCTGGACCCTAATGGACCCTGTCGACTGCGGTTGTCTTGGCATCGGGCCAGTGCTGCTAGATCAGTCTGCATATAAGCCGTGATCGCTTCCACCGTCGCAGGAGATGCCCTCGCATATAACACCGATTAGTGATGGCGGTGACTGAAAGCAAGGTGAAAGCAGTTATTTTGATCGACTCTCTACACATAAACATAGCAACTCGCAGCCTGTAGGTTGGCCCCATGCCAATGAACACCGCACATTTGACCAGTGAACGAACCTTTCTTGGCAGTGTTTCAGTGTTTCCAACTCTTTTTGAAAAATACATGTTTGACTAGCAGTTACCAGGGCGTTCATTTTCGCCATACTTGGTCTTTTCTTGTTATACTCGGGATGAAATATTATTTTCGAGGCTGAGTTGCTAGCAACTCGCGCTCCGCCAAGGAATGCACCGCCAAGCTGTAAGACGCATTCCCGAGTTATTTGTTGTAACTATCTACCCCACTATCTGGTGTGCACAACACGATAGTTGTGATTGGACGAGCTGGCAATTCAGCAGTTCCGTGCAGCAATCGTACTGTATGACCAAGTCACGACGTAGTCAGGCGTGGGATAGATACTCAGTGACATACAGTATGCAGCAAAGTTTTGCACGGCTGCGGGGAGGGGTGCACTTTAACCTGCTCACGTGCTTAAAAAAGTAGCGTCGGGGCTAGGAAGCTTTTGGTGTTTCTGTCAACAAGACAATGTGCCGTTAAATACGACAGTTACCAGCCAGTTAGGTCAAAAGCGTTTTACGCATGTTCTTAAGAACATCTGCAAGGAGCATCATGCATTTAAATAACACGGGACTGATAGTCTCATCCCTGGTAGAACAAACAGGAAAATGGAGAGATAGACTAGCGTTAGTGTCAGCACAGCAATTCACAAAAGCGTTTTAGTGAAAGCCAGGCAAGTCAGAATGCCCGTTCACCACGATCGCCGAGCGACCCCGGTCGAGTCGGCGCTCGTGACGTGGCTGGCGCACCTCCGAAGGGAGCCAAGTGCCGGCGTCCGCAGCGCCTACTCCCAATACTGAGCTGAAAAGCGTTGTGTAGAACGGAGACCTGCCTCAGGTCGACCTTAGGCCTACCACGCCGCACCGCTATCTTCCCACTGGAAGACGCGGTCGCTCTTCTTGGAAACACGCGGGACGGACTGCGTCAGAGTTCCGCGGATATTGCGTACTGGTGTGACGGCTTGAGACGTGGGCGTCGATGGCGGGAGAGCCCCCAACCGTATCGGAACAAGCTTTATGAATTTGTTCAGTGGGTATCTGCAGCGAGCACGCTACTTCAGTAAACTTTGCAGGGAGAAACGATTACCATGCGTGCTGTGTCAGCGCCTCACATCCTTGGCCGCGTCCCATCTGCATATTTACGCTGAATTCGATAGATGTGCTGGCCTCTGGTTCTGACGTAAGGAAAGTTATTTTTTTTGGCAATCAGCACCGTCGAGCAAGGTTCATCATGCCCTCGTGCGTGATGGCTGGAATATCTTAGATTAGCCTGGCTTAACCAACCATTGACGGTATCCACAGTTTAGCGATGTCTATACCGTGGTATATATATATATATATATATATATATATATATATATATATATATATATATATAATTTGCGTGCGTGCGTGCGTGCGTGCGTGCGCGCACACGTCCATCTTTCTTTCTCTCTCTCTCTCTTCCCCTCGTCATCCTAACTTCCTCAACGCCGGCTATCCGCCGTGGTCTTGACCCGTGCTGTGTGGTCGCCAGGTCAAGGCGCTGAAGCGTGAGTTTCCGGTGCTGCGCCACCTGGAGGGCTCCTACTATGTCCGTCAGGAGCGGGACGGCCTTCTGATCGGGCCCTATGAACACCCGGACCGCATGAGTCTCTCCGAGGACTGGGTCCTGAGGGGCGTCCGGCCAGGTACGCGCCGGGACGGGGGCGCCTCCTGATCGGAGAGGCGCGGTGCGAAACGGCGCGCGTGAAGACAGCTTGCCGTGCGCTTGATGGTAGCCGGCCTGAGACCAATGAAAACAAAGTGTTCACTCGTCGCTGATGTCAGATTCACTTGGCATGTCACAATTGTTGACAGCCTTGGTCTCCACCCACATTACATGGCCGTGCGGAACTAAACAGGGCGTGGCGATCTTGCATGCCGGTGATGTCACATGTTCACAGGGTCATGACTTTGTCGACACCTGCCATCCATTGTGGCAACAATAGTTTCTGTTTATTGCCGCTAGGGTTCGGTCGCGAACTGTTCCCGCCGGATCTGGACCGCATTGAGCCCAACCTAGAAATGGCCATGGAGCTGCTGCCCTGTTTTGCTGAGGCGAGCATCCAGAGCGTAGTGAACGGACCCATCACCTACTCGCCGGACGTGCTGCCCATGGTGGGCCCCACACTGCTACCCAACATGTGGGCCGCCGTCGGCTTCGGGTGAGAAATGGGCGCATGAGGAGGGAAGCTGCTCGGGTATTTCGTGAGGACGAAGAGGCTATTTTTGAACAAGAGGTACAATGCCTTGAGATTGGACAAATGCTGGACAGTCTAACACTGACATCACGTGGGAAGTATGTCCTGGCTTTGGTGGCAGGCTGCGGTCAAACATCCTTGAACAGCTGGCTCCGCAGACGGTGACTAGCGGATGCCACAATTGCAGACGGTTGGTAAAGTAGACTCGGCCGGACAGTTAGCTGGCGATTCTATCGGACGATTGCGCTGACCTCCCTGGAGATGCCGCTAAACGCGGAGCAGTCCTGCTCGTCACCGTCACACAACCGCTGCGTACCTGTTACGTTTGTTGTATGTTACCTGCCCCCAAACAAATTGCATTGCTCCAGTGTAAGCGGGCATGTTGCCAAAGATGCTGAGCCTGTATTTGGACTGGGAGTGTTGTCTGACTGGATTGTGCGTCTACCGAATGAAATTCTAAGCTCGACCGCTTGCTCCTCTGAAGGCTTTGTACATATGCAATATCACACCCTCGCCTTCCCGGCCGTGTTGAAGGCTCGTAATCAGTGCTCATCCCCCCCCCCCCCTGAGCCCTTCACCAGATACGGTATCGTGTTCGTGGCTCGTAACACTGCACATCCCCCCCCCCCCCGAGCCCATCACCAGATACGGTATCGTGTGCCGCGGCTCGTAACACTGTTCATCCCTCCGAGCCCATCACCAGGTACGGTATCGTGTTCCACGGCTCGCATCACTGCTCATCACTCCACCCCTCACCAGGTACAGTATCGTGTGCCGCGGCTCGTAACACTGTTCATCCCTCCGAGCCCATCACCAGGTACGGCGTGGTGTTCCGCGGCTCGAACACTGCTCATACCTCCAACTCTCACCAAGCACGGCATGGTGTGCCGCGGCTCGTAACACTGTTCATCCCTCCGAGCCCATCACCAGGTACGGTATCGTGTTCCACGGCTCGCATCACTGCTCATCACTCCACCCCTCACCAGGTACGGTATCGTGTTCCGTACCTCGTAACACCGCCTCCCCCCCCCCCCCCTTCGTGGCCACTTGCCAGGTACGGTATCGTGCACGGCGGCGGAGTGGGCAAGTTCCTGGCCGACTGGATACAGCAGGGCGAGCCGCCGTATGACCTGATCGAGGTGGACCCATGCCGCTACGGGCCCTGGACCACCGACAGCTACAGCCTGGCCAAGTGTCGCGAGAGCTACGGCATGAACACAGCGTTGGGCCTGCCGCGTGAGGAGCGCTGGGCAGGTGCGTGATCCGGAACACTGGCGCGTGGGGCCTCCCGCCCCCCCCCCCCCCCCGCTGAACCGGCTGCCTTTCGGCTCTGCCCTTGCCGCAATCAGAACAGCTCGGATGTTCGTTGTAGCGTCTGTGCGTTGTCGGTGTTCATAGCCCGCACAACCTGTTGTCCAACCGGGCGGGACTAGATGGTCCAGACCGGGACATTCTGGTCTAGATTTGGGCTCCGGATGGCAGTAGCGTCGCGGGTTGAGTGACAGACGGAAGACGGAATAAAGTATGACATCTCGCGTTGAACTATGATTGGATTTCCTGCGACCAGCCATTCATTTACGTTGAAAATAAAACCTGCTGACATCTGTCGATGAATTTTGCTCGTTAAACCAGGTACCCGCGGGTCACAAACTGCTACATGACCCATCCCATATTTCCCATGGTAACGTAATGACCTCGGCTACCACTTTAGCCTGCAGACCAACATCCCCCCACGGACTTGCACCACTCTGCGTCCTCCCCGCCACCGACCTATGCCCAGCGGGCGGCGCGGGCCGGCGGTGACCGTGACCCCTCATCGCAGGTCGGCCCACCAGCCGGGTCAGCGGGGCTCACGCGCAGCTGGTGGCGCGCGGCGCCTCCATGGAGCAGCACACCGGGTGGGAGCAGCCGGCGTGGTTTGCCGAGCCCGGCACCGAGCCCGAGTACAGGCCCAGCTTCCAGCGCACCAACTGGCACGAGCGGGTCGGCGACGAGTGCCGCACCGTCATGGAGCGGGTCGGCGTCATCGACATCACGCCCTTCGCCAAGTTCTACCTCTCGGGTGGGACAGACTTTACGTTTCAGGCGTTGGGCCGGACCTGGCGACGCGTGAGGATAAGGAAACGATCAAGACAGAAAGAGAAAGCTTGCCTACTTCTCACATGTAGCGACGCGAATAACGAGCAAATTACACAACAATTACTATAGCAGATCTGCAGAACTCCCCCCTCAACTTGAGTGTACTTCGGTGCTATTGATAAGCGTTTGCAGGTGTCACGGCCGTCTGAACAGCAACACCCTCTTCCGCTACCTAGGTCCGGACGCCCGTGCACTTCTGGAGTACGCCACGGCGAACACGATACCCGCCACCTGGAGGACCTGCATCACGCACTGCTTGACCCCCGGCGGCAAGGTCATGGCCGAGCTGACCCTGACCTCCCTCCCCGATGAGAGGTTCCTCATCATCACCGGCACGGGCAGCGAGTTCCATGACCTCAGGTTGGTTATGTAGCAGCCGTCTTAGGGTGGTGTCTCGGTGTAGTCTGCTGTATGGGGTCGCGTATGCTTGAATGTAGTTACGTATGCGCATTGAAGGCATTTTTTTGTAAAGACGGCATCCGGAAATCTCTAATCGCAACGCTATCGTCCGTGTCGTCCTCGTCGTTGTCTGTTGACATGTTTTACCACCTTACCATGACTCCTTCCTTGTGATTTGACCTCCCTGGTGGTTTTCAAGGAGTTCTTAATTTCCGAAACGATGGATGAATGCCAATCTATAACTCAGCTAACACTACCCAACATAAGTAGTAACTTCTCTTTATGAAACTGGTTACAGGTGGCTGAACGAACTGGTGCGACAAAAGAACTTCAACGTCTCGTTTGAGAACGCAACCGAGGCCACTGGTGTCCTCAGCATTGCTGGGCCAAAGAGCTGGGACCTTCTGAAGAAGCTCACAGATCACGACGTCTCCAAATTTCCCTTCCTTAGCGTCAAAGAGGTCATCACCTGACCATGTTTTTGAAACCGGTTCGCAAGGGAGCTTTGCCCTAGTGGGTAACCGCTCAGCCTATGCGTGATAACATGCCGTACATTGACGGCACGCTATGGACTTGACAACCATTTAAAGGCCTTTGTGACAAGGCTGCCTGCTGTTGATGATTTTAATTCACCTTTCACCATCCGAGCCCCGCCTGACTGTTACGACCCTCGTGCACACTGCCGACAGATCGAGCTGGCGGGGGTGAAGAGCCTGGCCATGCGGATCTCGTACACGGGCGAGCTGGGATGGGAGCTCTACCACCCACGCGAGCAGACCGGCCGCCTGTACGAAGCCATACTGAAGGCCGGCAAGGAGTTCGGTGAGCAGTCTTCACTCTCGGTGCTGTCAGGGACCGCGGGGCGAGATCAGGCGTGCGGTTTAGTTACACAGATCACCTTTGGATAAACAGCTGGCGCGCGCGTAATTGTAACACCATCGTACCACAGTTGAGGAGTCTACACTTGGGTACGTCCACTACGCACTGAACAGTACAAATTGGAGCGGATCTGAGAAGGGCAGTGAACGGGACGGCTCCATGCCATGACTCTGACAGGATCGAGATCGACGAGGTTGCACAGGGCGTTGCAGGACACAGTATGCTTAGCGTGCACATTGGACTTGGTGTGATGAGCATCGTAGTAAACTCAGCTTTAAATGTCCAGAATACAAACAAAAATGCGTAAACCCAGTCCAGAAAAAAACTAATTGGCACTGCAAAGAGTGCCGCTCTCCGGAGTCCCACGACGCCGGCACCGGCGTACCGCCATTCGGCCGCTGTCCGGCCGGCTGGTCAGCGTCGCGACCGTTGTGTCCCCGTCACCAGGCATCGGTGACTTCGGCACTCACGCGCTGGGAGTGATGCGCATCGAGAAGGGCTTCCGCGGATGGGGCTCTGAGATGAACTGCGACGTCGGCCCGCACGAGGCCGGGCTGGGCATGTTTATACGGTCGGATAAGGCAAGTGGGACGCGTCGGAGACGAGCCTCGTGTCCACAGTCAGAAGCAGCCAGCCGCTGCTGCAGTGGTGGCACGAGCTCGCGTTTGAGCGGCTGCTTTGGGTTTCAAGCGACAGGCTCAAACACAGCCCACGCAGTCTTTCAGTTAATTCACTGTCAAACTGACGCATTGATCTCTTTGTGACCATGCAATATGCGATGTGGCTGAGAAGGGTGTGAGGTGCAGTGTTCATGTCGAGTGCTCATCCCTTCACAAACTGGTGCCGCCTGCGTTCGTCAATCCTTTTGCACCCTGGCATCCTAGCTCTCCACTCACCTGGTCTGTTCGTCGCAGAGAGCAGCTTCTGTGTACGGGTAACTTGAGAGCTGTAGCCTAACCCGGCGCGGCATGCGCAGGAGTATGTGGGCAAGGCGGCGGCGGAGCGGAGTCGCCGGATGGGCCTGCAGAAGATGGTGGTGCACCTCAGCATCGACAGTGATAACGTCGACCCAATAGGCGACGAGACCGTGTACCTGTACGACAAGGTGACGTACGGTCAGACGCCGAGTCAGTCCAGACTCGACTTGAGTCCGCTCTCGAGAGCTTTTCATGCCCGGACGCGAGTGAGCTGTTCTGATTGTCAAGGGGATCTGATGCGGGTCAGTCGAACTCGCACTCCCTGATTAGTTAAAAATTGTGGATTTGGGCTTGGTTCGAAATGAGCAGTTTAAAAGACAGAATACTCGGGCCGGGGGATGAGACTCAGATTTAGGACACTTATACTCTGATTCGTACTTTGACTAAGACTTAGACTCTAATATCAAAAGTGAATGCCAACCAAAATCAGGTTCGGAGAATACACCAGCATTCCGACTGGGACCCGAGTGAAGTCATTTGACTCGGCCACTTTATTGGTAATGCGGACAGCGGGGTATGTCTGTCTGCAGTAGGGCGGTATGTCTGTTGGCATGCCGCCTTCTATGATCAACCACCGCAAATCTCGATGATCAGCCGACGATTCAACACATTGACATTGATCAAATGTCGCACCGTCAGCTAGATCAGTAAGTCGGCTGTTTTTGATTCCAACACTTTTGGCCAGTGGTGGTCAAGTTATGATTCATCACAGCCACACAGTGGCCACTATACCCACTGCAGACATCGGCTGCCCACATCGCTGCTCTAACAACGGCAGGCTCGCAGCTGGCTGTGACCAGATACTCCAACAGGCTTCAGACCGGGATATGGGATAGATATGTGGCTGCCACGGCTGTAAATCCTGAAGATGGGGAAAGGTCGTATTAGGCTCAGGATCCTCTGGATCGAGCTATTCAACGTTGAGGCTGTGGCACGCACTATGCATTTCAGACCAAAGCAAACACTGAACGGCCTGCTCTGGGAGACATCTCTTGCGGGGACCGCTACTGCTGACGGTGCCACCCCCCCCCCCCCTCGCTGTCGGCAGGTGGTCGGCAACACGACCTCCGGCTGCTACAGCCACAACACCGGCCAGACTCTGGCCATGGCGTACGTGCCGCCGTACCTGGCCGTCGCCGGCACCGAGGTGCAGGTCAGTGAAAGGGCGCGCGGCCTGGTAAGGTGCGATTCTTTCCAATCCGGTCGGTGTCAACGCAGTGGCTGAGTGAACTGTTCAGCACACAAGCCAAACATTCCCCAGCTCAGAGGCATGGTGGCAATGGCCCTGGACCCTTGCTTTTCAGAAAGCAAACACGGCTATATCTTGCCCGCAGTGTTATTCTAATAACGCTGCGAGACCGTCCGGCAGCGCCGAACAAGTGTCCCAACGCAAGAAGAAATAAGCCATGACCTACATATTATGACGTTTGGTGTGTCCCTACCCTCCTTCGTCGTTTCGCCACCTCACGTGCAGCAGGCCCGGACCGGCGGCGGGCTGGCCGCGCTCGCCGCTGTCGCTGCCGTCGTTGGCCGCCGTCCGTACTGATACTGCGGTGCCGCTGCGGCAGGTGGCGCTGCTGGGCGAGCGGCGGCCCGCCGTGGTGCTGCCTGGTCCTCCGCTGCTGACTCAGCCGGCCAGAGACGCGCTGAAGCGCAAGGCCACCAAGGCCAAGGCCAAGTAGAGACGGAGCCAGCCACGCGGGGATTTTTCTACTCACTGTGGTGCAATGGATATGCACTACACAAGCTCATTGTGTAATTTTGTGTGATGCCTTGGTGGGATTTGTACTGTGCAATACGAAGTGTCGGGAATATATGAGGGCCTGGTTCGACATTCCTGTGTGTTTTGTGTTTAACGCAGCCTTTTGGTCGTGAATGTTTTGAGTGTCATAGCAGATATCAATGTTATGCATCTATAGCCACAGGCATGTGGGTTCACACACCCTTAGTCAAGTGATATTTTAGTTGTTCATTTATTTTGTTTATGTGATGTGGGTGTTACAACTATAGCCATACATGGATTTAGATAAGATAGGAGCGACAGGGATATTCCTTGGAGAAAAACCAGGAAAATGGAGATAAAGCTGCATCGATATTTCGGCAACATGCCTTTATCGAAGCGAATCGCAAAAGTGAATTCAAAATGCCTGCCGATCATCCTACGCCATTTTTCAGTTTCTTACCTGTCTGTCCTAAGTGCATATTGTTTCCTCGCAAATGCACTTCACAACTCACTGACCGGATTGGTTAACCCATGAGTTTTGGATTAATCCGGAGACTGAGCTGAACTGGGCAGGACAAGCCACAAACGACATAGAATGAAACTGGATTGGTCACTGTAGGTGGAGTCCAGCAACATAGCGGAAACGCAAGGCAAACAAGAATGAAAAACTACAAAACACTAGGGGTGTGCCCACGGCACCACTCGTGATGCGTTAACAACAGTCACAACCACACATATTTACATGCGTCTGGTGATCGTTATATTCAACGTGACAATTCCCACGTCCAACAATTAGAGAAAATAACTTGTGTAGCCCACACACAAGTGTTTGCGACCTTATTTCTCGTTATCATGACGTGATCAACATGATCGGACCCCCATATGTCAGAGACATGTGGGAGTCCGGGAAACACTGGCTGTAATTGGGCGCGGAGACTTGTGAGCATCCACACCGAAAAGGCGTGATGCAGGGAATGGGAAAATTGAGAGAACGGCTTAATACTGTCAAGAACAACAGAGTAAGAGCTGATACAGACATGACATTTATCCTCCCTCAGCCGTTCTGAACGGACAATTTCTGCCCAACATCCGTGGACTCAAGCTCCGACTGCACTCCTTAGCCTCTGCACCCCAAATGTGATGGACGTAAGCTCCGACTGCACCCTCTGGTCTCTGCACCCCGAATGTGATGGAGTCCAAGCTGATGCATGAAACCGACCACACACCGGCTTTGCTCAACGGACGTGGCTTCGAGCCCTAGCATTATGGGAATGAGCGCCACTGCCGGGTGTTGGCCATTGTCAAGAACTGTAGGCCTTAGTGGCACGCTGAGCCCGCCGCTGGCCGCCACAGGCGGGGCAGCGTCGGTCAGCCTGGCCACCACAGGCGGGGCAGCACCGGTCAGCCTGGCCACCCCAGTCGAGGCAGCGTCCGTCAGCCTGGGCACCCACACAAAAGCAGCGCCCGTCAGCCTAGCCACCACAGCCGAGGCAAGCGCCCGTCAGCCTAGCCACCACAGCGGGGCAAGCGCCGGCAGCCTGGCCACCACAGGCGGGGCAGCGCCCGTCAGCCTAGCCACCACAGGCGGGGGCGGCGCCCGTCAGCCTAGCCACCACAGCCGAGGCAGGGCCAGTCACCTAGCCACCACAGGCGGGGCAGCGCCCGTCAGCCTGGCCACCACAGGCGGGGCAGCGCCCGTCAGTCTGGCCACCACAGGCGGGGGCAGCGCCCGTCAGCCTAGCCACCACAGGCGGGGCAGCGCCCGTCAGCCTAGCACCACAGGGCGGGTCAAGCGCCCGTCAACGCGTGTTCGCTGAGCGCGACGCACGAGCAGCCAAAACGCGCCGATTCTCCTGCGCCCACTGCGTGATGCCTCAGTTCGATATAAACGCAGGTTAAGTCATCCGCTGTCTGATAGGTGCGAGTGTTAGATGTTAGATATATTGAAGAACGCTGTTTAGCCGTTCCATACTGTACCCATTGCACATTTTGCACTGATCCGACATGTCGCAGGCCACATTGATCAGGAATGTTTCTTCAGCTCGTGTTCGTAAATTTAACAGCTCAAAAAGGCATGTCGCGGGACATGCAGTGCCCCAAAAGCTCACGACTTTTGCCCGGAACCGCCTGAATGCAAGTGTGTGAAGACAGCCCACGGCACGGGTGGTAAAACTTGCCGACTTGGTGGATAAGGTCGGCCACAAAAAATGCATATCCACGCAACACTTGGTGCCAAAAATGCCTTTTGACCGACAATTTCGGTGACGGCCACCACAAAACACTGCAAGCGTGTGTTTTCGCAGCCTTACACGGGCTTTGATGGTTGCAAATTGCAAAAACGCATGCAAGGCACGCCATGCAGCATCGCATTATGTCCCATGGTGATTTGCAGTTCACTACTTTTTTCCAGATTCGTGATAACGGATGGGGGGGGGGGGGGCACAGAGCTGACTAAGAGCCCTTTGATGGGGAACGCCCTCTCCCCCCGCACCTCCACGCACAAATCGCTGGATTCGGCTTAACTGTTTTCCACCGGATCCATTTGGTTTGTATTATTTTGTATTTTATTTCCTTTACTGTTACAGGACCTAGGGTACCTACAGGACAAGCACATTCTGTACTTTATTTATTAATAACAATAATTGGTAACACAGTAGTGAATGACTTTATTCCTCGCAGAGAAACCAGTAGAAATGAAGACAGATCGGTTGATATTTCGGAAACATACCCTCATCGAAACAATAGCAGAAGTATTCTGCTATTGCTTCGTATAAAAGCATGTTGCCGAAATATGAACCTACCTTTATCTCCATTGGGTCCTGTTTTTTCTCTCCAGGGAATACAGTTTATTAATACCGTCTTACCTATATTGTACACAGTGCCGTCTCATCTATCTCTATTAAGCACAATTCGGCATAAAAGTGCTGGTTTTTCCGCATTGGTATAGCAATCCGGGTTTTTTGTAGTTCGGACATTTCCCGGATTACACCACACAACACAAGGTCGCACCGGGCCGCTCCCCCCATTCAGTGTGGGGGAGCGACCCGGTTCAGGTCGCTGACGGACACGACCGCCGAGCCGGGGGCCCGCCGTTTGCCGTGCGGGGAAACCTTTGCTGCGATGAGGCGGTCGTCCGTTATCCAGACGTATGGTAATTGTTGAATACAGTGAATGTGTGCGTGTCTCGTGCGTTACTTTGCATTTGTTACTGGACGAAATTAGCCGGTTTAACGTAGTATCGAATGCGTTTCCTTGCATTCATACCGGGGAGCATTAGCCGGTTTAACGAAACGTAGCTTACTCCTGTCCCTTGCCTTGCGCCAGATGGCACAAGCCGGCTTAACGTAGCTTTTTGCCTGGCCTTAAGCCAGAAGTAAGTTACACCCAGCCCCGGCTATGACTTGGGGTCGCCAGGGGAAAAAAGAAAAGATGCGGTTGATGTACCCCTCGTCCCAGAGTTTCGATTGCGGCAAGCGTTCCGCTGCCAGTTCCCCATTTCAGTGGTCGTGTTAGGATTGCGTCCGGTGGTCCTAGGGTGTTGAAAATTGACATGGAAATTGGACAATGCAACAACGTCCTGAACCTCGAAACACAAGAGCACTTACCTTAATATTCGATATATACCATATATATCCGCCCATCATAACACATATAATTATACATATGCCATAATTCTACATATAAATACGATATAGATAGATATATATAATATATATATATTGTATATTAGAGATACCATTGCAAGGATTTATCAGAAGAAAGTCATGGTCAAGTACTAAGAAAAGGTACGGCTGAAATCAATGGAAGTGATGGCGACGACTTACCGCCGTCTTAACCCAGGGTTCGATCAGGTGTCTTCCTGTCGAGTGATAAGGTCTTTAAATAGTACTTGATATAGCTAAATGCCATGGGTACCAAGCTTGGACGACAGCTGCATGCACACGGCTTTTTCAACGATATTTTTCATAGTACAGGCAAAATTGGTATATGCATGAAAATCACTAGCGATGTCACCAGGAACAGATTTGTGGAGATCCAAGAGTAGGGAATTAAAGAGAGAAGAGAAAAACTTACCGCATATGATTATTTGTGATACTTTCCAGGTAAACTGTTTCAAAAGCCATTGACAGAATTTTCAACGTCATGTACTAGAGGGCTTTACAAGTCAGCTTGTGTCTTTAAAACGTCAGGTTCTTTCCGCACAGACGTCTACATGTCTTAAAACCGTACAAAAATGTTTCCTGTAACATTATGCAAAAGCGAAGCTTTGGGTTACAACTTCCCCCACCTTCAAGGATTCCAAATTTACTGACAACGAAGAGCTCGGTTTGGCGTCTCACACCCCCATATTTTGTACCGCGAGTATATCAGCTGGGAAGCATTGTCACAACACTTACCTCAGTCAAGGTACCGAACTGCCTTCAAAACGCAGGTTGCATAGGCATAAACGTACGTACACCTCACATCGGTATCGGTTTGCCGGTTTCGCTCAAAAAAATTTTGAGGTGAGGGCCTTATCAAGGTTCTCCGGCATTTCTGCGCTTTACCTACAGAGTTATTTGACATCCCAAAAGTCCGTCTTCCTTACCCAGGGGAATATTACGTAAAACAAGTACGCCTTTTCCAGAGATGACTTCCAGTGGTCTTACTCCTAAAATGTTTTAGTAAGCATCATTTTGTTTCGAGTTCAGGAGTTGTTGCATGTCAATTTCCATGTCAATTTCAAAACCCTAGGACCACCGGAAGTAACCTAACACGACCACTGAAATGGAGACCGCAGCGGAACGCTTGCCGCATCGAAACTCTGGGCGAGGATACATCAACCGCATCTTTTTCTTTTTTCCCCTGGCGACCTAAAGTCATAGCCGGGGCTGAGGTAACTTATTTCTGGCTTAAGGCGAGGCAAAAAGCTACGTTAAGCCGGCTTGTGCCATCCGGCGCAAAGGAAAGGGCAGGGGTAAGCTACGTTGCGTTAAACCGGTTAATGCTGTCCGGTATGAATGCAAGAAAACGCACTCGATACTACGTTAAACCGGCTAATTTCGTCCCGGTAACAAATGCAAAGTAAAACACGAGACACGCACACATTCACTGTATTCAACAATCACCAT